AAAAAAAAAAAAAAAAAAGCCATATACAGTGCTCATTCAGCGTATTGGAAATACGCTGCGCGAAGCAAAAAGGTATCTGTCCCCCGAGCCGGAATCGAGCCGGCGACCTTCCGGTTATATGTGTATCCATTACAGCCGGACGCCATATCCAACTAGACCATCGGGGGTTTGGAGATACCTAATTCACCAGTATCTGTATTCATAAAAAGAACTGCTTCAACCAAATGAAAACTACATCAACAGGAAAAAGTTGTTCTTGATCTTCTACTTTGCTCACCAGGGCGCTTGTGTCGGGGGATCGAACCGTCGCTCCTACCGGACCATTATCCGAACTCCTCAGCAAGTACCCCGGAAACTGGGGCGGGCTCCCCGGCTGAAAACCCTTCGTCTACTCCTGACTCCTGATAAAATGACTGGACTAAGTACTAACGATATCTTGTCATCCTTCGGGGTGGTCGGTATCATGGGCAAGTCATCTGGGGCCCCTTATCCGCTCGGGGGGTGCGCCGTATCAAGTTGACGTTAATACCCATATTTAACACCACCAAACGAGACAGGCGGAACAAAGAGCAATAACTGCTACCCCTCGTCGCACATCTATATCATTAGATTCATTTAAACAGAGGCACATGTTGGCTCCATTATATTAATCTCCACCCAATGCGGTCCCATAATCCGGGCTATGAAGAACCATGCTTCTACACTACAGTCAAATAGCTGCTAGTGTAGAATCGTGAGATTGTCTCCTCTACAAAGCAGTTCATAGGAATGAGTACAGAATGGAAAACCCGAAGTGTCCCTGTTCCTGGAAGCTTATCATTCCTAGGTAGGATAAGAATCGATGTCTGTGCCGACGATGACGGTTCCGGGTGTAGGTAATCGAATGAGTCATCGAACTTGAAAGGGAGGAAGATGTTAAGACTTGTGAACAAATGGCCCCGAGAGCAATCGAGGCTTCGATGAGGACCTCTGTCCAACTTCAGAAGACTTACTAGAGACAATACAGCGAAGGGCCAAGGAAGAGACTGTTAAAAGAACTGAAATAAAAGGTACAATAGAGAAGGTAACATTTTCACAGAATGAGGGATTACTCAATATAAATCAAGATTATCCTGCGCGTCAATAACCTCCTCCGGAATCTGACCTCATGTAGAGTGAGGTAGGGTTAGTTTCTGTGGAACAAGTGGAGACCGCGGTGATTCCTGAAAGTATTAGTCCACTTGACTGCGCAAGGATCCTAAGTACTATGCTAGACAAGGTTTTAGATATATACGGATTCTGGTATGACAGTTTCTTGAGACCCGATTCCGGCTCGGGGGAGAGATGCTTTTTTGACCTCTCGTCAGCTTCTCTCCGTTACTTTTGAAGATCCCTCCTTTTTTGGCAGCTTGGATACATAGCCTGGAGCGAAGTCATCGGTTTCAGCTGTCGGTCAGCCATGGAAACGCCTTTTTTTGATTAACAGACATGTGGAAGCTTATTTAACTTCAGGCACATCGCATATATGCCGGGAAGCATTAGCTGTTCCCACCAGCACGCATACAGCCTCATCCTAGACCACGTGTATACAGGCACCGAGGTATCGCTGTATCCTTTCCTTCTACCGCCGGTGCCTAGATGTCTATGTATTCGTGCGGGTTTAACTCCCTACAATTCATATTATGCCTGTTCCCAAATTCGATAATGACCTGAGGGAATTGAGGTTCAGCGCGTTATGAACACGAGTATCTCACGGCTTAATTGGAGTAAATGTTGCGGAGGCGTTTTGGGCCTAGCGCCTAGTATATTTGCTCTCGGTTCTCTGTTTTCTAGGCGTATAAGTAGGGCCTCAAGGCCAGCTAGTGGGAGTTATCAGGACTTCTTTTCCACCTGGTCTGACGCCATCATCAGCGTATAGAGACTGACGAGGAACCCGCAGTCATCATGATACTGCCTCAAGACACCCGTGAAGGAGTGTAGTCTCTCTCGCAGCAAGTACTGTACTACGTAATACCTAGCGAGTTGAGACGAAAGCGGCCGCGGTGTTTTGTCTCAACTACTCTGTACTAATGGCGAGGTAATCTCTGATTGGTCAATCAACGACATCGTGGAGAAGTGAGTGTCACGTGTCCGGCTTTAGTTACTACTAATGTTAAATCAACCCCGTTCTATGAGATTGCGTATGGGCCACCAATGCTATAGGTACGATTCTTAGAATAAGGATTTGTATGGAAAGTCAAATTGGCTGTCGAGATTAGTTATTTGCAGGGTTACTCGTCTGCTGGGGTCAATTGCGAGGTTTTACGGTAGCATTAAAGTCCGCTAATACTTAACCCGCTGGATAACCCTAAGAAGGTAAGCAAAAATCAAAAAATATCTCTCCCCCGAGCCGGAATCGAGCCGGCGACCTTCCGGTTATATGTGTATATCCCATTACAGCCGGACGCCATATCCAACTAGACCATCGGGGGTTTGGAGATACTGCATTTTTAATGAATTTAATACTATCAGAACCTCCAATCAGGAAGAAGGAGCGAGAAAGAATGCCGTTGAATGCCCCCCAATGGTCGGTCCTGCCAGTGGCCCACCCAATCCTCGAGACCCGAATATCGAAGAACAGATCAGACATCTTCATGAGCGTTACCGGCATTAAAATATCTGTTGGGCCTTTTGGTGATTGGACCGTTCATCGGTGTTTTTTTATCTAGAGTTATTGGTCTTCTTTCAAAACCATTCTTATCCTATTGGCAAATGCCCGCGAGCGGATTAGGGTGCACAGGATACCGACCACCCCGGAGGATAATAAGATATCATTAGTACTCAGTCTAGTCATTTTGTTAGAGTCGGGAGTATACGAAGAGCTTCCAGCCGGTGACCCCGTTCCAGTCTCAGGGGTGTGCTGAGGAGCTCGAATAATGGTCACTGACACAAGCGCCCTGGTGGTTCTGAGCTGCCGATTTTATTTTGTCTCAGTCAACTCTTTTAAGTTTTTAACTCTTGGAGTAATTCTCCTTATAGGTGCATATATCGAACAACACCGACATCTCCAAACCCCCGATGGTCTAGTTGGATATGGCGTCCGGCTGTAATGGGATATACACATATAACCGGAAGGTCGCCGGCTCGATTCCGGCTCGGGGGATCGAGGTATCTTTTTGATTTTTGACTCCCCTAACCTGGGGTTACCGAGTGGGTCAAGTATAATAGATATTGATGTTATTTGCGGAGGCGTGCACGGAAAGTCCCCGCCAGGTGGTCGGTTTGGTCACGTGGTATTGGGCCAATGTCATCTTGCATCTTTAAATCCTCAAGCTACATGATTGGTCGATGGTCACGTTAGTAATAGCCCCACCTGATGAGGATTTTCCGTGCACGCCTCCATATGTGGCAGGTTCCTTCTCTACTCTGAGTGCACGCTAGAACCCAAAGTGGATTTCAAAGTGGCTTGAATCTCCATACAAAATCTTAGCAGTATCATGATGATTGGGGGTTGTAATCATTCTGTATAACCTTTAAGATACTCGCCCTCATCATGAAGTACACCTCAATTACCTTAGGGTATTATCGAATTAGGAAACTAATATAGTCTGTAGGGGGTTGAATCTCCCGCCAATACATGGACATCCAGGGACCAGCGGTAGATTAAGTACTGTGATAACCCGGTGCCTGCATGCACACGTGGTCCATAGTGACACTGAATGTATGCCAGTGGACACAGGTAGTGCTTCCCTGCATATATACAATACGACGGAAGGCCAAAAGGCTTTTACAAAGCTGTCAATCGAACCATTACATTTATTCTACGTAGTAGTACCTTACTGAGTTGACCCCACGAAGTAAGAAACCCCGAGAGTTGATACAGACCACGGTGGCCAATTTGATTTTACTTACAAATTCTCGCAGAACCCTGGAAATATGAGAATCCTACCTGTGACTCTGGTGGCCTATATAAATTCCCATGGAACAGGGTACTAAAAACCTTGATCTAACATTATCTAGCTGTGGGGGTCATCTGCCATAGCAATGTAACTAATGTTGCCCAAGAGCAACCCCTCTCAGAGTTCTCATTAAACAAACATTGTGATTCTATCCAGATATTAGCATATTGTTCACAGTGAGTGGCTTGGAATTAGCTAGAAATTAACTGGATGGTTTCAAAATGCCCTATTTAGATACATATAAAGAGCCATGCTATTTGTCTGGCAGTATAGTAAGTAAATTCTTAATTCCAAATACTTGCAATGGCAGAAAATTATATAGGCGCAATCTCGGGTAATCTGAATCTACAATGCATATTATAAATACTTGGCAGCAAATCAAGACTACTGAGTGTATGGTTCACTATAAAAAATGGTGCTGTCTATTTGCTAAATATACCACATACCTCAATAGTAACACCCATACTTCCTTTTAGTTCCAACAAGTAAATCTCTTCTCAAAACATAGTATCGACAAGTAAATGAATAGTGTACATAATGAACAAATCCTTTTTTCCCTTCTTTTATTTCTTTATTTCTTTATCATTTTTCAAAAGTCTAAGTTCCCACATTTGTCTGTTTGTCTGTTTAAACTGTTTGTTTACTGTTCACACTTCCAATAATAGCTAACTCATCTGACCCCAACAGAGCAGAAGAGGAGTTGGTGTAAGTGAATGTTAGGTCAGCCACCCCAGGTTGGACCTTAATAAACCTAGCGCTCTGCTTATATCTTGTACCTGTACAGGCAATCCCATCGAGATATCGAATCTACCTATTAGGACCCAAGAAGCGATTAGACAACTGCCACAGCTGCTAGCTTTCGATATAAACCTGCAGAATGGCACAAAGTCCGCAGATTGACAGCATAACCGCTCTGAAGGAATTCCAGGATGAGTTTCGTGACGAGTTTCGTCTCTATACCTCCTTTTTACAGCAATTTATCCCTTTTCTTATGGAAGATTTTGATACAGGTGTAAACCTGAGCTCTCTGCCTGACTGCGAAGAGAACGAAAGCCTTGACGAAGAGCACCTCCGGTACTCAATAATGCACAGACTGCTAGAGGAATTTTGGGATATTTACAGCGAGGACGAGGCTGATCCGAATATCGAAACCATTGACGACATTGTGGATTATAGCTTCTTGGTGAAAGTCTTCTATTGGTATCTAAACAGAAAACCAAGGGAGCCGCCAAACCTAAGAAGGGCAAAAGACGTTGAAATACTTGCACAGAGGGTCCAGAGGCGCCGTCAGATGTTTAATGAGAACCTTATTTCGCTTCTAGAGGTTCAACGAGAAGCAACACGCCAACGAATTGAGAAAGAGGCCTCCAAAAGAATCAAAAGAGAAGCTGTGATAAAGAAGGTGCCATCTCAACAGGGGTCACTCAGCATAACCCAAGATTATCCTGCACGTCAACAATCTCCTCTGGAATCCGAACATATACAGAGTGAGGCAGGACCGATTCCTGTGGAACAAGTCCCGATTATTCTTGAAAACCTTGGCCCTGTTGACCGCATGAAGATCCTAGATACTATGATAGACAAGGTTTTGAACAAATATGAATCTCGCTATGGCAGATTTTTAAGATCCGACACAGGGCATAACCTCAAGGCTATCCTAGAGGGTAATCTCAACCCACAGGTTAGGGCAATCTGCGACGCTGGGATGTTTGGCTTAAGGAGGTGAGTTGCTCTATAACCTGTTTATTGAGATGTACATATGCTGAGGGGGATTATCTGCAGTTTACTCCAAATTGGCAGTATGGAAGATATACCAGGTGACTCAGGTGTATACATGCATATCTTGTATAGAAGGAGCAATCCGGACCACTTCTGGCTATATGTGGGACAAGCCTTGGTATTAGTTGTGAGAATATTGACTCACAATGATAAAGCACATAGGCAAGCAAATCCCAGCTTACACTACCACATCTGGGATTCAGCCAGTGATATAGAATCGGCATTTGTCATACTTGCCAAACACCATATTACACAGAATGCTTCCCCTGACGATCGGTTTATCCTCAACTTTCAAGAAATGTGGATGGCTTGCATTTTTCAAACAATGACACCAAAGCACTTGGCAGAGTATCTTCCCGATGATATAAGCAAAGCATGGGCCGGCCAACATCTAAATGTTGTGCCCCCGATATGGCAGGGTTTTACCGACAACATATCTGTTTTAAATGAAGCTATTGGAGGAACAGAAGCTTTTACAGCATTTATTAACTCAACAGATCCAGCTATAAGAGCCTGGGCATGTGATCTTCGATACGCCTTTCATGATCTTCGAAACTCTCCCAATCTATCCCATCGTTCCTACTAATTCAATATTATGCTTCGGAATCGCAATTTAGCCGAAGAGGCTTGTGATAGAAGAAAGATAGCTTATCTACAGAGTGTCTTACATGGTAAACTGAGGATAGTTATGGGTGGAAACGATGGGCAAAATGCACACCGTGTCAGTTGTAGTGACTTTGAGTTTACTATATCTCGACGATTACAGCTAGGGGTCAAAGTTGGAAACGAAGTGATGCTACAATTTCAGCTTACTGAAACTCTAAATCCTGAGATGTATGCAACCAAAGCATCAATTCGTGACCCAGCTAGTCGATTAGCTGTATCAATTAAAGGCAAAGGAGCAATGGTGACTACTTTGTCTGGCTCAAGAATGATGGCGAGGAAACCGTGATGATTATGAACAGCTTAGTCGATGCTCTAGAGGGGGTGCCTCTTAGTGAAACCAGAGCAATGCCTAGGCGATGGTACGTGACAAGACAACATGGGACGTCAAAAAAGGATGTTGTGTATACAACTGAAGATGAGTCATAGCATCTACAATAAATATGGTCATATTGCTTTTCCAGTTCCATAGAATTAGCAGGGAAGGATTGGAGGGATGGGCTATAATGAACCCCAAAGAAGGACAAAAGTATAGGGGTACAATATTCGTTTTAGTGATTTTGCTATACTGGAATTAGACTGTCTGTCGAGTACGTTTAGCTTGATTTAGTAGTCTTAGAGCTTTGAAAGAGGATATCTCCAAACCCCCGATGGTCTAGTTGGATATGGCGTCCGGCTGTAATGGATATACACATGTAACCGGAAGGTCGCCGGCTCGATTCCGGCTCGGGGGAACGAGGTATCTTTTTTTGGTCAATTTTTCCTATCAAGCCTGATAGCAAGATCATACCTTTTAAATCTTTCTTCTGTATGACTGTAGGAAATGTTTTCCAGGGACATGATTTTTATCGCTTTATACAGCTATCTCAATAATAACCTGTACCGCTAACCCTAGTTCCTTACTCTAGCAATTCAGACACTCTTACATGAGATCCAGGACTACTGGTCTATACTTTTTGCACCTTGACAAAGCACTGCTGAACGGATATATGATGCGATGTCGGATTCCTACCCAAACACCCACGATGGTTAATTAGGAATAATCAAAATCAGGCACAAACGCCACTCGGCAGACAAAGGGCCTACTATAT